TGTAGTCCAGCAGGACTGAGTTTACTGTTCCAGACATACTTGCATCACCCAGAGCCCTGCACTGCAGAGGCTGACACAGTCAGAAAGACTGACAATCTTAAGGTAAAACCTCTTTATTTTGCACACGGTGACTTGGGGACAGGCTGCATTTATCTCTGTTTGGATAGATAAAGGTCGGGGCTCTCTCAGGAGGGCTTTCTGGAAGGTGGACCTCTCTTCTACGAGTCACCGTATCAGACTCGTGAGAAAACAAAGTTGACATCTTGAAAATTTCCAAGCAATCCACACATCCTGGGAGGGTCTCAGAAAGGATGTTCCCAGTTTCCTGCAGGGCCGGGAGTATCTGGGCAGAGAGCAGAGGGCCCGCAGGGCCACAGGAAGCCACCGGCCCGAGGACAGGATAAGGAGAAGAAAGGCGGGCAAAGGAAAGGGCTGAGCCAACACAACAACACCTTCCCAAAACAGGGAGGGGGAATAACACGCATACGTGAGCTGGGAATCATCAAACTGGGATCATCATCTGGCAATATACATGGCAGGTATAGGCAGCATTTAGGAGCGTATAGGAACAGGTATGTGCTTCCACGTTGGAGGCATTAACTAACCATGAGAAGCAGGAGCGAGCCACACATGAGAAGCAGCAGTGAATGATTTGCTTTGCCAAAACAACACAAATGTTGTTCTTGGCAAATACAAGCCAGCACACAATCTATTAACATTCACCATCCCCTTCCTCTCCAGTCACATTAGAGTTAGTCACATCGTGAACTTATTTCCTAAAGCAAAAGTAACAACATTTAAGGACCTTACTGATTGGCACCTGAAATATTTTTGAGACTTGGGTGGGGTAAACACAAAGGATTATTTTTTTTATTTTGGTATGTACTCCTTATCCAAAAAGAAGTTCTTTCATGTGCAACATTTGACAAACAAATTTAGTTACAGCATTAATATTTAAAAGGAAATATTCTCAGCTCAATGCTGAAAGCATCTGAAGATTCAGCTTCATAATTCATTAAAAAAAAACTTAAAAAGCCATGAATATATTTTTCACTGCAAACAGCTGCTCTTAAGGCTACAGAACTAAAACTTAGTAGGATGCAAAAACATGGCATATCATTACCTCAGTTTTCAACAGTAAAGATCTAATTAATAGTACAATTCAAAAAAGAAAACATTTATTTTATTTATCAATTGAGAGATGAGATGGTAATCTTTCTAAATCATTCCTTTCTACTTAGGCATAATGAACAGAAGTCCACTCTACTGAACATAAAGATGCTATTATATATAGAACACAAGAATCAGAGGAACAACGGTACTGAGCTTTGCCTAAGACCTATTAAATTTGAAGTAAAAAAACATCATGGAGATGACTTCGTTCTGGTTTACTATTTTTGAACGAACACTGGGGAGATAATTTAAAGGCAAACAATTGAGAGAGAATGACTGATCCAATCTCTCAGTTTAGAAACATATTTCTGCTTATTTAATCCTTGATCCTAGAGAATTCAAATTACAACCACTTCATTTTGTTGTGTGATTTTTTGGCAGTACTCTTACCTAACTTAACATTGGTACATTACATTCCTTTACAACTGAAATTGAGGTAAGACATTAATGATTTACTACAATATTAGAAATCATTAAATCAAACAATACTTGCTACCATAAAGTTAAACTCAATAATTTAAGAATTTTATCAGTTTCCATACCTGAATTTATCAATTATATTTTTTTAATAAAGGTTTCTTTAAATATGTGTATTAACACAAAAACATGAGGTTACATTCCACAAAATACATTCATATTTCTTAATGTTGATATGAATATAGGTTGCTTTAATAATTACTCCTTTCTCAGTACATCTGTGCCAAGACATCTTTAAATGAAGTATTGACTTTACGGTAACTGAAGAAACCAGATAATATTTTCAAGATCATCAAGAATGATAAGGTACCCTCAATAACTTATTTTAAAATTACATTGAAAGGAATATTTTAAAAGTAGATGCTCCCCATGTAAATACTTCACAAAACCATTAACTCTCTTCAAACAACAACCATCCCATTGATTCCAATATTGCAAAGAAAACTTGTTATGGGAGTCGTACACTGGGTTGGTGTCCACATAAAGTATTTCTCTGAAGGTTCCGTAGCCTATTTCTTAATTTTCCATAAATTCACTGGTCCTTTTCGCAGTTATAAAACTTTTTCTGAAACTGCAAAAAATTTGCTCCCAACTTATCTAGCGAGTAATTGTATGACTATAACTAAATGCCACCTACAACTGTGTCTCTAGAGGTACTTATTTTTATGTTAAACTGTAAAATCTTTGGAATGAAGGGTATGAAAATCTATAGAAGACTTGATGAACAAAGCTGATTTTCATCTTCTTCACCCTCACAGTATAAACCTAAATCCTGTCTCAAAGAGATTCTCTCTCAGAAGAAATTCTGACAGACATATTTGACTGGCATATGCTATGCCTAAAGTGCTCAGTTACTTTGACATCTTTCACAAAAATAAACCTTTGCATTATTGCAACTACTATCTAAATCGAACTAGGACCTTTTTATAGCCTATTCTGTCCCGCAGAAAAGCCTACAAGCTTATTCACCTGAAGTAGACTACATCCTACAACTTTGCTCACAACTGAACCTGGATGTACTTGTATAGATTATGCTTTTCCCATTGTTTAAATGGCTACATTTGCATATTTTTAAAAGCATCCCAGACAAACATTATTCCTCTCCTAGTAAGCAGTACTTCACATAGAACTGGTATTGTTAAAATTTTACAACAATAGAACAACATTTTAATTAGATTTTATAATTTTTTTTTTCAGAATAACAAAATGCTATAGTTTCTTATCAGAAGGACAAACCCTCCTCTTTGACATTGCAAGAACTGTAAATACCAAATGAAGGATGCAGACCTTTTATTTCTGATTTTTTTCTAACTTTTATTTAGAGGAAGCACACACACCCCAAAGTATTCTCAGGACCCTCTGGATCAGTTTTGCAGTAAATCTCTCCAAACTCAAGCTGTTCCAAATGAAGAACATAGATCTTTATGACAAGAAGCCCTCTTGAAGCATAACAACTTAAGAAGTCTCACCAGTTCAACCTCTCCATCTTTACCAGGACAGCCAGAAGAGAAAGCACTACCAAGATGCTGGCGCCAGGTCTTTACAGGGTGTGGGAAACTGGAATATGCCCCTCAAGTCAGGCCAGCACAGGCTGCTCACTGCATATTTCTTTCTCTTTACCACTGAATATGTTCTGGATTTCGAAACCAACACCTCTAAGAACTGTAAATTAGAGCATCAACAAGAAGAAAAATCCCTCACATTACAAGGTTCTAAATCTACAGTTTTGAAATTCTGATCCAGCTTTTAATCCTAATGCCCAGCTCATGTGCACTTTTTATCAGGGGATCCCTAAACAACACAGCTGGTTTTTTTACACATTTTTCAAACATCATATCTAGTACATGGCAGATAAGAGCCTGAAATTATTACAAGTAAACAACAACAACAAAAAAATTTAAAAGATATTGAGTGCTGCTTCAGACAAAAACTGATAATTCGCAACAGCACGGGCGTTCAGCTATTAACATCAAAACTATTGGCAATTGCACCTCCCATCAGCATCCACTCCGGTCTTACCTGGTAGATATCAGAAAGGCTGCTGCTTCCTGAATCACTAGTGATGCTACATCCTGAGTGACTAGATGAAACGTGGGTCACCTGTGGGTGGAGACTGTCAGTAAGGTGCAGCTTTGTGAAATCTGCAGGAAGCTATAGGTGGAGCAGAAAAAGCATCATTACAATTTGAGGTAGATACACAGCAAAATGAATTAAAATAATTTATGTCACACTTTACTCTCTGCCAGCACCAAGTGTATTAAGAAAACCATTGGGGCTTGAGAATGCAGCACAGAAGTTTCAGTTTTGAAGATTTTTTCAATTCATGCAGAGGTCAGCAAAATACCACCAAATTGCTGCAAATATATTTTTAAAAAACATATATCTGAGGGAAAATACCAGTGAAGCAATAACCCTTATGCCAAAACTCTTCAGTATCTTGCTATGGGGTTTGGATAGAATTAAAGCACACATGAATATTGTGCTAATTTCAATATCAATGGTTTCCTGTAGAATGGAATTAACAGCGAGTAAAGTCACATACTCAAAAAACCCAAGTACTGCTCTGAATTTAACGAACTCTTTTGTTTCTGAAGTTGACGAAGTACATTATAGAAAAGTAAAATTCAAGGCATCAAACTATCTGGTATACTTTAAGTCAAATAAATGATGGCAAATAGGAAATGTGGGAAGACTGACACAACTGCCAGGAGGTACAATCCTGAAATGAGTTTGCTCATGCACATTGCTGCAGAATGAATTGAGACAGCATAATTGATCTTTTAACAATCATCCACCATCAAGATTTGTGACATATATTTTTACTATTGCTTTATGCACACAGCTCCCATGAAAATCTGTAAGAACTGTAAACATTGCCAGACTGCAGAAAATGAACTTTGATAAAGGAAAATATTTGCTGTCTGAAGAAATATTTAAACGTTATTTCAGGGGCAAATTACTTCTCTCCCCCAAGAAGCTTGCATTCCGCCACTAGTTAATAAAAATATGTTAATGTATCAATTTTAGGTACTCTACAGAGGTGTGTTTGTACCAAGAATGTCATACACAGCGTGTCCCTTCATGTCAGTTATGACTGCTACCTTGGCACTATTGCCATTCTCTCTGGGCAAGAGATAATAGGTTAATCAGTATAAAAGGTTAGGAAAAAAGCCATCTGCAAGTCACAGAAGAGTGTGATTGAGAAAGTGATTAGCTCTATACAGCTAAAGGTACTGAATTGTTTTACTGCTCTTTGCCTGGTTTAAGTCTGTTTATGGAACATGCCTTGAAAGAACGTCGGCTTTAGGATTTGTGGTGAAAAGCACAGACAACTGGGAAACTTAGTCTTCTTTAGACTGACTGGCATTTACTATTCTAACACAACTGAAAAGGCTTCTTCCTTATCACAGCATGACTGCACCAGTGATAGCAAAAATGGCCACATTTTAAGGAATTCTTTCTTATATTTTCCCTGAAAGAGGGGCTGAAAACAGGAACCAGTCATTAATAATCCTAAAAAGCTTCAATAAGCCCCGAGGCTAGAGCTGATCTTCATATACCAATCAACAAAGAAGGGCAATTAACAAAAGCAACACTCTAATACATACAGCCATGGACGCTGCCTCCAGAAAAATCTAATTATGCTCACCACTGCTGATGAGATGCCAGAAGGAGAAAATACAGTATGAAGGAATGCGTTAGTTATAATATCTGTTGTCTCTGATATTTCTCTTTTCAACCTGAGTTTGACTTAGCATGAAACTGAACAGTATTTACTGATATTCAGGCCATTATGTCCATTTTTTATCATTATTTGAGCCATTCTACAAATAAATGTACATTCCATAGGTAGAATGTATGTAAATGAACCATCACAGCTTTTGCAATGTGTTCATGAACACTTCTAAAAGTACAATCTCTTAGAATTAAAGTTGTCCAGGTTTATTCCCAAGTAGAAACCTTATATATTATTTTGAGATACATGCACAAATCATCTAAGATTCACACATTTAATGATAACTCACAAAGACATATTTTGAGAGGCTTACATTCCATAAAGTAATAACTATTTCAGTCACAAATAAATATTAACTCCATAGGGAGGTGCATGTCAACAGTCTTAAGCCCAGCCAAATACAACCAATTTTTCATCGTGCCCTGCAAATATTTCCATGTCATTACCAATTGCATTTATTTTTTATCAATGCAATAACAATTCTTAAGAATCATACATCAAAGCAAATTCAGTCAGTATGTTAAAAAATGAAATCAAGCTATGTTTGATATAATGACCGCACTTAGTGTTTTAAATGAACAGCAATAACTTATGTCTTGTTACTACACAGGCGATAGGAAGAGGCAGGGGATTCCACAACAACTGATGAAACACATTGCAAATACAAGCAAACCTTCTGAATTTTTTTGGCTGTAGACAATCAGCTGAATGTTTGGTGATTACTGGTTTCAGAATAACTCCTCAAGTCAAAGCCATGCTGCATGAGCTGGGCTTGCCAAATGGTGACAGCACAAGATCAGAAGCAGGCATTTTACTTAGGGCAAACTAACTACTCACTTTGATCCTAATCAAATACGACTATTCACAAGCAGAAAGCACATGCTCACATCTTTGCAGAATACTACATCTCTGTGCTACATGCCCGAAAGCAGCATCCACTCTGACTGCCCTACCCCCAAATAAGTTAAGGCAAGAAGTTGTGCAAAGAAAAAAATAATTTCAAAAATTAAATAAGCTGAAACAACATTTAAATTGTGAGCTCAATGAAAAGCATGTGTGAGAAATGCATGCATTTCTATCTTAGTCACATACTGCTATTTAAAATATGTAATTTACACAGTTGTACACAATGCACTGTTGTATTGATGTTTCACTGATGACAAGGATAAACCAGATGTGCTTCAAGCCTTCTATGTAAGAGGTTACACCTGTCACTCCTGGAGCACAATGTCTGGTAAATGGTTTTCAGGAAGCAGAGTAAGAATAAAATGCAACGTCCAACAGCCTTAGCAGTGCCAGCAACCCACACAAAGTTGCCTACCCCAAACCAGGATATTTACACTTAATTTCTCACTTGCAGTGGAACATGATTAGAAAAACAACATAATGAAACCACGCTACTATATCCAGTGAAAAAAAATGTCTAGGAACCATCAATCGGCTTTTGGGAAACATGACAGTTAACGTCACTACAACTGGTATATGTGCTGTGCAATTTATTATGAATTTTTTAAGCACCCTGTGCTTATATTCAGCTATCAGTCCATTCAACAGTTTAGTACTGACTTTATTATTTAGTATAACAGAAAAAATAAAAGTTTTTTTGTAACATTTTAAAGTGGGTACAGGCACACGTTTTATCCTCCAGACAATGCAGCAACATGAGGAAGTCTAAGGACACACCCTTTGCCTCAGTAACATCTCCTGTCACACACCAAAGACACCACAGATCAGAACTGAAGAGTCATTTTTATCTTGTTTTCCATTTTCATTAAATTATGGCTAGTTTTAAGGAGTCATTCAAAGTAATAAAGATCAAAAGTAACTCCTATATTTTACATAACAAGCACTTATTTTTCTGCAACAACACTAACCTACAACCTTGCTGAAGCCAGCAACTACAATATTTCTTAACTTTATTACTGAGCACTTGGAGTCACAGCATCATAAGGAACTATCAGACAGAGTAAAAACACAGCAGGGTCATTTCGAAAAATTAATGCATAATTTGTTCTTAAGTAAATATAGTTTCAAAATACATTATATGTACACTATACTAAATAATTAATAGCCATTAAAAGGGTCAGGTAACTGTCCTGATAACCTATTTTCAGGACAAACTTCATAAATGAGAAACATTTAGACTGCATACGCATAGATCTAATGAAGTATAACAGGGGAAGAAAAGTTTTTAATACAAAACATGAACTGATAAAATAGTTAACACCAAAGCCCTAATCTTAATTTGACAGAGGTCAAAAACATATTTTATAAATACACATGTAGCTCTTAATCAGTGAGCACGTACGCGTACATACACACATTTAAACAGTTTACACACATGGACAGAAAGCAGAGGAAAACCAGTACATCTGGGAACTCCAAGCTTTTAGTCCCTGAGAACCCTAAAACAGATGAAAACTTAAACAATTATGTGAAACTACCATAAGGACAAAGACGTATCTCCATTTTGAACTGCACAATACTTTAAACCCTATCACATCTTCCTATCTTAAAAGCTGCATTTTATTACTTCCACCCTCAAAGTGAGTCACTGCTTTATGCATGCAAAGCTAACAATTACTTTCCTCTGAATATGTTCCTCCTATTTTAAGAACATGATGATTTTCTCCTACCCTACAGACTGCCTTCTGTATAACAAAAGGCAACTTCTATTGCAAATTCTACTCAAGAAATCACTAGGCTTATCCTACTAGTACAGTATTAAAAAAAAAAAATCTATATTTTCAGAATATTTACTGGACAAGAAATTAAAATCTTTGGATACATCATAAAAAGGTATGAAAACAGTAAAACATGAGTGAAATGACACCAAAAACTTTCTTCATTTAAATGGTATTCCTGTACAGTTTTTTGTTGTGAGGAGATCTTTGGTTTGGATTTTGGTTTGCCTTCTTTTTTTAAACACAGTTATATGTGGAAACAAGTATAAAGACAACAGTGAGAAAGACAGACAAAAGAATATAATTTTAAAATACAAGAGGAATTCTGGTTGGAGAGCTCCAACATACCACTCATTTCAGAGCAAACCTATCAGTAAGCATTTTATAAACCAGGTCTTCTACTGAAGGCCAGTCAGCACTTTATGAAAGATTTCTAAAGCCTGCAAAGTGACTGAAGTGCATCTGCAGAAAGATGGAATTAAAGAGTGCAAAGGCGTGACACTGTTACGCAATTCCTGATGCCACTGAGACAGGCCAAGCAAGCACAGTAGATGTAAGACAACACAAAACATAACCTTTATAGCCTCTGTTTCCACTTTCTGAAATTAAAGAAATGCAAGCAAACACTGATTCATCAGCCTCTAAACACATGCATCTGAGGACTTGTTCTGTAGTACCTCTGTACGGGTAAAATAACATAATAAAAGCCACCCTAACACAAAAATATTGTT